ATGGATAACTTGCTTGTCGTGACCCTTGTAAATATACTTAAAGATGTATTTCACTGATGTTATACTCGAGCAAACCTCAACATTTAGATGGCAGTTGAACATCATCAACAACTTTGGGTTATATGGGACAACCCATCTATTATCCATCATAATACCTTGTTTATTCACAGCAATTCCATTATCTCTCCTTCGATAAACCGGATATGTGTCCTTTCCTTGTGTTGTGGCTTCGTTGAATTGTCGAGGGTATCTAAAACGACAGGTTGGTGGATCACCTTGCATACAAGAACATTTTTTGTTTAATGTACCACAAGGACCATGTATCATGTGTGATTTGACCAGATCGTGTAGTATAGGATACTTTGTCGGGTTTGGAATTTCGGCACACACATACTTGTCATAATGGTCTGTATTGGTGAGCTTCCATTCAGGTTTCATTATTAAGAGAAAATGAGCATGTGGTAAACCACGTTTCTGGAACTCTATTACATAAACATATGCACTCACCACACCAAGGACGTGCCTCTTCAAGAGTTGTTCCTTAAGGTCATGTAACTTAGCACGAAAAACTCTTGCAACCAGATCTGGTCTATCTTGTGCTGTTTGAAAATGAAGTAACTCATTTTGGATTTCAGGCCAATTCGGATTGCACGTTATTGTAAGGAATATATCAGGTTTCCCTCCATCTTGAACTAAAGCCATAGCATCGAGAAATCGTCGTCGCATGTCACGAGGACCTCCGATGAAACTTGCTGGCAAAACAACACGTTGCCCAATCATACTTGCTTGTACCTCACCGGCATTGACACAATCCACAACACCTTGGTATAACTCCGCTCTTATTGTAGATTGGTTTTTTCTACAAAATTCCAAACGCGAAGTCTCAATCTTGATGTAGATATCTACCACAAATTGTTGTAATAATCTCCCTCCTAACATAATTACGTTCAAGTTTGATCGAATCTGCAACTTGTAACAGTAGTACTCCCGCATAGTTACAGTTTTCCTACCCGTTCTTATATCAGTCTCTACATAATGATTAAATTGAATAAATTATATCAATTTTTACATTTGTAAAATTTAACAATATTAAAATTGTGGCTATGCGTACCTTCTAGATCTTCATCGAAGATTTGGTCGTCATTAACCATCTCATTGAATGAAACCCCTTGCCTTAGTATGTTAGAATGCCATCCAGGCTCACCATTTGGAAAGAATAAAGGATAACACAATGGGTCATAACATCCCCAATAAGATTGAATTGTTTTTGGTTTGTCGGACCTTCCATATACTATAATACTTCTTTTATATGCGGTTATGTTGTCATTGCCTTCAATCCAAATACCAGCAACCTGTGAAATTATACAATAGAAAAAATATGATTAAAACTGGTACGTAATTTGCATAGTTATATTTAATACATGAAACATCTTTTTTCTCAAAAACATATGTACATAATTAATTTCAAACCTCGGATGTGGTTGGCCGGTTGTACACCCTTTGGTCTAGTTCTACTGATGCATTTAAAGTGACTCTGTAATTGTCGAGCGGTCCTAGATCAGCAAGGCTACGAAATATTGCAACGTATGGGTTTGTAGCAAGAACGCGAGTCAAAATTTCAACAATTGGTTTAGCAAGATTCTTCCATTCGAGTCTATTTGACATCTCAGCTTCAACATCGTAAAAATACAATTGTAAGAACTTAGGTTCATCCTTTTTCCTTGGAACTAACTGATCGATTCTATGGTATATCCCTCCATTCACACAAAAAGTGTATACCCCAGATGTCATATTGGCCATCGATTCATCCACTTCTACGCCCATTGATGCAAATGAATAGTTGGTGTTGTATGCACGTATATTCTTTCTAAACAATTTGCCTAATTTTGTTTCTGAGGTGAAAAGATTGTGTAATTCGTCAGGAATAGATGAGTCTGCCAACTTTGTCTTTCCACTCATGCAACAAAAGCCAGCAGATTCAAATTGTAGTCGTTTTGCCCCACAATAACTACATATATCATTGAACTTCACCACACGATGTTTTTTACGGATACCGGCGAAAACAAAACTATATGGATCATCCGAGATGCTACCATTTTGTACTGATGGAGTGACATTGCCATGGATACAACCTTGTGGATCTGTAGACATTTTATTCATTAGTTAAATGTAATATAAATAAAATTAAAATAATTACACATAATTATTAGCCAATATATATGATATTTTTCGGTAAAAATCAAATACTGACCTATTGATGTTGAAATTTGAGTTATCAATTCATCGCGTGGAGGTAGTATTACGTCAGGCTGACTTTGAATACCTACGTATAAACAAAAATTTCTCATTAAGAATGTAAATTATGAAAGATTATGGTTAAATGTAATGTTGTACTACTTAGATTGTAATATGATAACTTCAGACATAGTTACCTGGTTTTGTTATGGTTGGTTCCGTCTGACGTTGATAAGGGTTTCTATTATAAATCAACTTTTTTTGACCAAAATCCATTACACATGTAGGAGATGCATTGGTAATATCCACCAGATTCCTATTTACTGTTGGCACATTTGACAAAAATGTTGCGTTTTGACTATTTCCTTCCCCATTAGCTATTCGTCTCATTTTGTTTTTCTCCTTTCGTCGTTCGTAACATGCCTTATTATATGCTTTTCGTTTTTCTGCAATATTTTTTTAAATGAATAATGTATAACGATGATATACTAATAATGATTGTAAATATGTGATATACCTTTTGTATTTTCTGCATCAATTTGGATAACATTATTATGTTTATTTTCTTTACCGTCAAACCTCATTGCAAACTGTAAAACACACAAAAAAATGTATACTTTATTTTATACATAACAAATCAAAAAGTATGATTATTCAAATACGAAATTTATTACCATTTGTTTTTGTTATAATAGTTTAGATCAAAACCAGATTTTATTTATGTGTTTCTGGTAATGTGAATGGTCTATAAGGAGATGATGCTTGAGTTGCCGACATATATTGGTTTGATGATACTTCTTTTCTTAGGTGAAGCTAGTTACTTTGAAACACGTTGCATCTAACTAAAAAAATACTATAAATAGTAGACTTTTTCATCATATAGTACTTGAATAAGAGATAATTTAAAGTTAAATACACATACCTGTTTGATTTTGATGAATCCGATAGAGCAGATGGTTTTTGTGAAGCCGATAGAATATATGTAGTTTATGCATGTACAAAGGAACACAAAGTGAGTGTGAATGGTGTATAATCGAGAAAGTAAAAATCGTAAATAGTAAACATACGCAGTAGCAGACTGTAGAACCGATGAAGCCTTCTTATATGTTAAATTATAATTATAGAATATGTTTGCAATTGGCGCCTATGGTTCATCTACTACGCAAATATCTCTCTCTCTCTCTCTCTATATATATATATATATATATATATATATATATATATATATATATATATATATATATATAGGTTAAAAGTTTGTTATGAAAGGATTACATATAGTTCATACTTATGTGTATATTTATAATAAAATTTGAAAATTCGTAATCCATTTTGATTTACTTTTATCTTATTAGTTGAAAAGTATTCAAAATTATACCGGGAAACAAAATAAGATTTTTTGTTTTGAATTGGTTTTACATGTAATTCAATTTTAATTATTATTTTTGTAGATTCTTAAAAAAAAAAAATAGGAATTGCATGAATTGAGTTCGCATTTGGTTTTGTGGGTCAAAACAGTTCGCATAAGAAGTTCACGATTTGTTTGAGGTTAATTGATTTTGATTTCGCAAGCTTGGAGTCGGAGATCTGGATTGTGTTCGCATCTATGGAATGCGAGGAGAATTTAATGGTGATATTCAGTTCGCATTTGGTGACACAAGTACGTGGTTGATGATTTTTGGTTGGTTCGCATTTGAAATCAGTGGGTTTCGCATTTGGGTTCGTATCTGGGTTTCTCAAACAACTGAAATGCGAATATGAGACAACTGATTAATTTCTCAGTTAATGCGATGAAATGCGAATGAACTCAAAGACGGATGGATGCAAGATGCGAAGAACTTGAATGAAAATGCGAAGTTTTTAATGTATAAATTCGAATTGTGGAAGAAAGCTAAGAGTTTCGCATTTGGCCCCTGATCTTTTCAAGAAATAATATAAGTGGTCCAACTACAGGGATGCGAAATGAAAATTCTGCACTTGTCTTTTTATGACCCCATTTTGCGAAGTTGGACCACTTATATTATTTCTTGAAAAGATCAGGTGCCAAATGCGAAACTCTTAGCTTTCTTCCCCAATTCGCATTTATACATTAAAAACTTCGCATTTTCATTCAAGTTCTTCGCATCTTGCATCCATCCGTCTTTGAGTTCATTCGCATTTCATCGCATTAACTGAGAAATTAATCAGTTGTCTCATATTCGCATTTCAGTTGTTTGAGAAACCCAGATACGAACCCAAATGCGAAACCCACTGATTTCAAATGCGAACCAACCAAAAATCATCAACCACGTACTTGTGTCACCAAATGCGAACTGAATATCACCATTAAATTCTCCTCGCATTCATAGATGCGAACACAATCCAGATCTCCGACTCCAAGCTTGCGAAATCAAAATCAATTAACCTCAAACAAATCGTGAACTTCTTATGCGAACTGTTTTGACCCACAAAACCAAATGCGAACTCAATTGATGTCATATGCGAACTGATTTCATATATGCGAACACAATTGATTTCATATGCGAATCCACATCCATCGATATGAAACCAATACCAGTTACAAGCAATTATATATATATATATATATATATATATATATATATATATATATATATATATATATATATATATATAGTAAGTCAAAAAGAAAATAAAAACACCACATTCACGAATGAAAAGTTAACAAATTAACAAAACCAATAATAAAACTTAAAACTGATAAAAGATATAATGTGGTAAAACCATATGTGTTAAAAGTTCCACAACTGAATTGAAAACACGGGAATTAAAAAAGTTTTCAAGAAAATCTTTTTCTAATACTCTCTCATCAATATCTAGCTCTAATCCTATCAGCTTCATACATTTGTGGTTCAACATCAAAGTCGGTTAAAACAGTAGAAACCAATAAATTACCTGCAAAAACATGAAACATGTGGCATAAAATTTAATAATATGTATTTACAATTTGGAATATGTTGATATTAATATAAATTATATACTGATCATATTTTTTAACTGACCCAAATTGTTGTGGACCAGCTTCATGCAAGAAACATAGAGTATGGATTTGTTGTATGTTGCAACAATAACCTTAATCATAAGGTTTGCTGGTACGTTATACAACAATAACTTTGTTACGTTCCCCCTATTAAAAGGTAATGCTGTTTAAACTCTTATAATGAATGATAATAAATTTAATAAAAAACTATGTTGTTTTAATTTTTTTTAAATACATATATACTTACGTCTCATCTTGGAGAATTAACTCAAATGATCGCAGCTGTCTGATTCGATTTCCCCATACTATTCTTCCAACCACATCTAAAAAACATATTTTCTTGTTAAATTTATAGTAGATGATATAAAAATGATTAAAGAAAAGATATAAATATACCAACAAGCCTTCTTTTATTTGTATGATCTTGTGCAACAGTTGTGACAGTAGACACAATTGGATAAAGTGGATATCCACTGGCAAAATCGCTTACTAACCGAGTAAAAGTTGTGGCATGGTTTATCATTATCGCCTTATCACTGGTGCAGATTTTGTACTGTTGGTACATTGGATTGTCCAAATGGTATTCATCAACTTGGAAATGTTGCACAGAGAATACATTTCCTTTCAGATTCATGTTTCGATATCCGGGCACTAAATGGCGAGGTATGATTGCTAATATTTTTTCTCTCTGGTGTAAATAACAAAATGGTAATGGTATTATTTACAAAATTAAACTTTTAATAGAAGTTGAATATTTTAATTGGAAAAAAACCTTACCTGGCGATCTATCATCCACAAGAGCATCCTGTTGTTTTCCATGTCCTCCCAAACATACAATACTCTAACACTTGTAATGTTCCACCATTCATATATTTGCCCCAAAGCAGAAAATTCATTAACAGTAGTATGATAAATATCCATTTCAACTGAAAAACACTTCAGTTAATAATTGCTATACTTGATGGTTTTTCTAATACATATTGCTTGTACTATGAAATAAAGTAAAAGTTCAATACCTGTTTGATTCTGATATAGCATATAGAACAGATGGTTTTATGAAATCAATGGAACAAATGGTTTGATGGTAAAGTATGGAAGCAAGATTCGTAATCTTAAATACGTATATATGTACAGATTACAAAACATGTTTGTTATTAATGGATGAGATAGATTTAATGTATATCATCAGTTTTTTTTTTAAATGACAATTTAAAAAATCCTAATCAGTTTGGATAGAATTTGAAGTGCTTATCTGATAAGCACTATGATAATTTCGAAGTTAGTGTTATCTTTTTCTAATTAATAATGATATAAACTGTAAAGATAATTTCGAAATTAATATGTTGACTAACATTGATCCTTAAAATTTGGGATATGAATGGTTTTGAGCGGGAAAATATTGACACCTGGGTAACCCTCTACAATAAATACCTATGTTTGCTTCTCTGAAATTCGATAATGACTTGATTCTTCCACCTGGGAAGAAGGTATGTTCACATATTTTTTGTTTTCTCTTTTGATTTAATTGTTACGTTGTAACTAATACTACTTTTGACATAGAAAAACGGCCATAATGTCGAACTCAAGTAGCATTGTAAATAAGCAGGAATGTGAACAAATCATCCTTCAACTTTGTATGCATGAGAAACATGAGAAAGAAAAGAAAAGGGAATGGGCATTGCTAAATTGGAATTGGGATGAGGTTATTGATATTCTAAGTTCTGAAGATGAAAAGCTGGATGATGAAGCTGTGGAAAAGTCTGACACATTAGATTCAACAAAACCAAAAACTTTGTCACCACCACTGAAGAGACCCCGTGTCAAAGTTCAAAGCCGAAACAGATGTTATAGGCTTCGTGATGAAGAAGATGGTGAATTTCCTGTTGATGTCGGGTAAGATCATTTGTACTTTGTTTTACAAACGATCATGAAAAACTGTTTTTTTTATATATTTCAAGGATCAAGAAACTTATGAATGCCTTAAATTTTATTTTTTTGTCAGGAGTGGTTTGATTACTGTTGCAGCTGAAAACCAGCCATCTCAGGATGATGAAGATGCAGTTGTTAACACCTAAGTTTTTTTAGTAGATTTATTTGATGTTGGAATTTTTATGGTTGTCTTTTTTTTGGATTGTTTCAAATAAGTAACATGTTTTTATGGTGTTGTTTTTCCTTTGCTATTACATTATTATTTTCTGGGGTATAAATGCATGCCTTGTTTTTATGTCTTTTAAAAGGCAACCAATGTCACACAATCCATAGGTATTTATTGTAGAGGGTTACCCAGGTGTCAATATTTTCCCGCTCAAAACCATTCATATCCCAAATTTTAAGGATCAATGTTAGTCAACATATTAATTTCGAAATTATCTTTACAGTTTATATCATTATTAATTAGAAAAAGATAACACTAACTTCGAAATTATCATAGTGCTTATCAGATAAGCACTTCAAATTCTATCCAAACTGATTAGGATTTTTTAAATTGTCATTTAAAAAAAAAACTGATGATATACATTAAATCTATCTCATCCATTAATAACAAACATGTTTTGTAATCTGATTAAATGTCACACATATGACATTTAATCAGAAAATCGATCATTCTTCAAATATGACATTTAATCAGAAAATCGATCTAAAAATGAGACATTTGGTGTTTATCGATTTTTCAGGGTCGACGGGTTGTATGAAAAGCGAAGGCTGAGTAATTGAAAATTAGAGGATCGATGGTTGCTACTAATTGCTTGTAACTGGTATTGGTTTCATATCGATGGATGTGGATTCGCATATGAAATCAATTGTGTTCGCATATATGAAATCAGTTCACATATGACATCAATTGAGTTCGCATTTGGTTTTGTGGGTCAAAACAGTTCGCATAAGAAGTTCACGATTTGTTTGAGGTTAATTGATTTTGATTTCGCAAGCTTGGAGTCGGAGATCTGGATTGTGTTCGCATCTATAGAATGCGAGGAGAATTTAATGGTGATATTCAGTTCGCATTTGGTGACACAAGTACGTGGTTGATGATTTTTGGTTGGTTCGCATTTGAAATCAGTGGGTTTCGCATTTAGGTTCGTATCTGGGTTTCTCAAACAACTGAAATGCGAATATGAGACAACTGATTAATTTCTCAGTTAATGCGATGAAATGCGAATGAACTCAAAGACGGATGGATGCAAGATGCGAAGAATTTGAATGAAAATGCAAAGTTTTTAATGTATAAATGCGAATGAACTCAAAGACGGAAGAAAGTTTTTAATCTTAAATGAAATCATAGTTTCCTAATAAATTAATTAACAAAATACTTAACCCGAAAACAAAATCGAAAACCAAAATATAACCACATAACGTGAACCCACCAAACCAATTACGAATGTCAAAGAAAGACACATGAGAATTAACAAAAAAAAAAAAAAACTTTCATTCACAAATGGTATAATGCATAAATAAAGCTTATTTTTTTCATTTACATACAAAATATTAAGAACAAAACACTCCCATGTTCTTGTACATGATACATACAAAACAAAGAAGAAACTATTATTCATATGGTACCTTCAAATATAAGAATGATACAATAGTCAAATATGTATATGATAAAATTTGAAACAAATCAATCCAAATTCACAAAATTTTGTCAGTTAAATTTTTTTTGTTGTCTGACAATAAATGAAACCAAAAACTTATGCATTGCAATTTTCAAAAACAAAACTTACAAATGGGTTTACCCCAAACAATAACAAAAACTTACATATTGCAACTTTAAAGAAAAAACTAAACATTCAACTACAAGAGCTCTAAAAACCCAACAAGAAGATCATATTCAGATCTTAAGAAGCTTACCCACGATTTCTTTGAGATGTTGGTTTATATCAATCCATTTCAAGTCCTGTAAACACACATAAACACAAAGTTAGACATACGCATAGATACAGGACGATGGTCAGCAGCACCGGAATTTTAGAAGGATGCATAGAGGAAACTAATATGTGGAAGCTATGAGGTAGCTTTTTGATAGAGAGACAGAAAGGGGAAGTGCAAAGAACGATAACAAAGGTGGTGGGTTTAGCAAGCATTGTTATTTTTCTTGAAAACAAACATTAATTAAATGGATAAGGATTCAACAACTACAGTAAAATGATAGAGTAATAAGATATTTCCTTCATTAACTGGAGTCCATATCAGTACAGATAGTTGAAGATATACCTGAATTGATACAGATAGTTGAGAAATGTCAAAAGGACACAAATACCCTTAGTACCACTTAAACAAGAAAGCTTTACTCTAGATACACTTATACAAGAATATTTAATATACAAATGATTACCCAAAATGTAGACAAACATCAGAACCTGAAATGGAGAGGAAACACCGGAAATTGAGAGTAAACATTGACGATTATGTGATAAATGACTGAAAAGAACACTTTAAAATTGCTAACAAAAACCTGTATTGTTAGAGAACGTTTGTAAATTAATAGTGTTTGCCTCCTGGTTCTGCAATAGAGAGAGAGAGAGAGAGAGAGATGGTTGGAGACCTATGACCACAAAAAGAGAAATTCTCAAATTCACAAAATTTTGTCAGTTAAAGAGCACTAACCTTGAAATCGTGTTGGATCCTGGTCCACTGTGACACTTGTGAAAATGGTTGTCTGAGGTTTCTAGAGAGTCGAGTGCGACCAGCTGTGAGTAGTAGATGGTTAGGTCTCCAGGTATGTGTGTAAAATGCGTAACACTTACGACCTCACAGATAAGAAATTTTTTGCAGTCAATTGGTCATATAAGGGGATGGGGCAGAGATATGAAGAAAAAGATTCGTTCTAGACTTGACCGGTGCAATCGATCAAAATCAAATAATTAGAGAATAGAACAGTAGCATATGCTAGATGTCGAGAGATGGGGGTTGTGAACGGTGGTAAGATGAAGTGCGATGATGATGAAGGTGGCCTGTTTGATGGTAGTGAAGGTTATGTGACAACAAAGTTTACTGATGGTGTTGTGATGTTCGATATTCGGGTTTCTAAAGGAGATATGCAAGAGAAGAGAAAGGCAGAGGTGTTTAGCAGCGACTGTAATGGTCTCAGTGGTCAAGGTGTGGTGGGTAACTGCGTCGAATATGGGAGGAATTTTAGAGTATTTAATAGAGAGGGAGAGAGTTCAAGGAGAGAAGAGATGGCGACTCATCTAGGGTTATTCTACAAGGAAGGGCTATAGATACTAAGATAAGAGATGATATATAAAGTTTATCTATAGACCGATTCAATTGGCAAAATCTGAGGAAGACGGGTTCTTCTTTGACCAGTTCAATTTGAAGAAGAAAGCCAAAGCCTATTCAATATGTACGTAATTCATGTTAACCGCGTAAGATTTGGTATTTTTCTATGCATAAACTCATTGTAAATAGCGTAATAAGGGTTATACCTCTTAAAATTTAATATTATTTTATTAATGATTACTTGTACTAACAGCTTAATGGTTTGGACGTCTTAAAAAATATTATTATTATATTGAATCTATTTATGGAAATAGTTGGATTTCTATTATAAAGTAGTATAGATATATATATATATATATATATATATATATATATATATATATATATATATATATATATATATATATATATATATATATATATATATATATATATATATATATATATATATATATATATATATATATGTTCAGGTTCATTTGAGACCATTCTAATTTTGTGAGACCGTGAGACCAAATCTAAAAATAATTTTAAAATGCAAAATAAATGGAAAAATCCAAAAAAAAAATTTTTAAATATTATTTTCGGAACTTGAATTAACTAAAAAAAATATAAAAATATATAAAAAAAAATTAAAAAAAATAAAAAAAATTCCGTTTTTTTTTTTTGAAAAATACGTGAAATATTCTAAATAGAATATTACATTGA